GGGATGAGGTATCAGGCATCACAGAACAAAAAATCCTATCATTGTGAATAAGGGGGAGTGTGGAATGGGAACCCAAAGCCCATCTGTAGGCAACTAGACATCCCCTTACAGAAGGGTCCCAGGGAAGAGATGAGCCAGTCAGGGTACAGTGTAGCAATGATGAAACATGCAACTTTCCTCTAGTTCCTAAATGCTTCCTCACCACCCACTATCATGATCCCAGTGTTACCTTACAAATCTAGACCAGAGGATGTATACTGGTACAGATAGGAAATGGAAACACATGGAATCCAGGATAGATGATCCCTTCAGGACCAGTGGTGAGAGTGTTGATATCGGGAGGGTAGAGGGAATGTGGGGTAGAAAGGGGGAACCGATTATAAAGATCAACATATAACCTCCTCCCTGGGGGACGGACAAGAGAAAAGTGGGTGAAGGGACGTCAGACAGTGTAAGATATGATAAAATAATAATTTATAAATTATCAAGGGTTCATGAGGGAGGGGGGAAAATGAGGAACTGATGCCAGGGGCATACGTGGAAAGCAGCTGTTTTGAGAATGATGAGGGTAACAAATGTACAAATGTGCTTTATACAACTGATGAATGTATGGACTGTGATAAGACTTGTATGAGCCCCCAATAAAATGGTTAAAAATATAGAAAGAAAAAGGAAATGTCCTTGACAGAGTCAACAAAACAAACCTACTGCCACCGAGTCGATCCCAACTCACAGTGACCCTATGTAGGGGGTTCCGAGGCTCTGGATCCTCGTGGGAGCTGACAGCATCACCTCTCTCCGGCAGAGCGGCAGCCAATGGCTTTGAACTGCCAACAGTGTTGCTAGCAGTCCAATGCTTACCCCACAGCACGACCAGGGGTCAAACACCAGAGAGGAGAACTGAACTTTCGATTAGAGCGGGAGCCCAGCCACACAGGGATGACAGGGATGGCGCAGGATGGTTTGCTCTGTGAGAGCGGGGGCATTAGGGGGACACATCTTTCTTATTCTAAAACTTCCTTCGACCTTTCTGTTACAGTACAGAACCATCTGTATTTCAGTGTTGACTTAGGTTTTCAAACAATGGAGCAGGCATCCCCACTAACAGCCACCAAACAAGTAGTCTTCACTGGAGCCAGCGGTCCTTCTGAGCTCTCCATACTAGGCTTCTGCCTGCCACCCGGTGAAGAGCCCGCAGCTCCCGTAGCCTGAGGATCGACAATCTTATCTCGCTGCACCACAGCAGAGTATCTGGGTGCGACTCTCAGGCGGGATTAATGAAAAGACACTGACGCCGGCAGTTTAATATCATGGAAATTCTAAACGAGACGGTGAACAAACTTTGCCTACCTTTTTGCAGAGAAGAGGTTTAAATATTAATACCCAACGCTGAATAGCATCTTTAAAAAGGATCACCCTTATATACAGACATCTTTCAAAGAACAAGTATAAAATAGTCCTAAAAATACCCATGCTCCTTTGACCCAGAAATTATGCCCCTCTGTTGAGGGAGTAAGGAGGATAGTTATATACAAGGATGTCGGCTGAAGCCTCCATTAAGTGTGTGTGTGTGTGTGAGAGAGAGAGAGAGAGAGAGAGAGTGAGAGAGGTGCATGCCTCTGTGAATACAAGGGCTGAAACATCACACCACAAGACTGGTCTCTCCAGATGATGAGAGGATGGGTGAGGGCTGTCCGAGTGTCCCTTCACCCACCTTTCCATTGTCCGCCCCCCAGGGAGGAGGCTATATGTAGATCCCCGTCATCAACTACCCCCTTCCACCCCACCTTCCCTCCACCCTCCCGGTATCACCATCCTTACCACAGGTCTGAAAGGATCATCCGCCCAGGATTCCAGTTCCTATCTGTACCAGTCTAAATTCTCTGGTCTAGCCAGATTTGTATTGTAGAACTGGGACCATGAAAGTGGGGGGAGGAGGGGGCATTTAGGAACTAGAGGAAAGCTGGATGCTCCATCGTCGCTACACTGCACCCTGACTGGCCCGTCTCCTCCCCGTGACCGTTCCGTAAGGGGGTGTTGAGTTGTCCACAGATGGGCCTTGGGTCTCCACCCCGCACATCCCCTCACACACAATGATATGATTTTTTGTTCTGATGATGCCTGACACCTGACCCCCTCGACACCCTGTGATCGCACAGGCTGGTGTGCTTCTTCCATGTGGGCTCTGCCGCCTCTGAGCTAGATGGCCGCTTGCTTACCCCCAAGCCGCCAAGACCCAGACGCTATATCCCTCAATAGCCGGGCACCATCAGCCCTCTTCCCCACACTTGCCCATGTACCTGCCTTGTCTTAAGTGATTGTGTTGGGAAGGTGAGCATCACAGAATGCCAGTTTAATAGAACAAAGTATTCTTGTATTGAGGGAGCACTTGAGTGGAGGCCCAACGTTCATCTGCTACCTTAATACTGAACCTATGCATATATCTGTGCCAATGTTTTCTATTCCACATCTCGTCCCAAGTTTCCTGCAATGGCCAGCCTTCCCAGAGTGGCCCCAGGGAACAGCACTGCCACCATTTCTGACGGGACGAACGGCAGGACTCACCAGGCCGCTGCGGTCGTCTTTGCTCTTCTCCCGACGGGCTTCCTCCAGGTCCTTTTCCAGTGTCTCCTTCGCCTGCTGCAGGTCACTCAGCTCCTGGGTGAGCTGCTTCATGCTCCGGCACAGTCTGTGGTTCTCTGTGCTCTTGGTGAGGTTTTCTGAGCGCAGTTCAGCCAAAAGGGCTTCTTTTTCTGACAGAGCAGCCTCATACGCTTCAGGCGCCTGGAGAAGAAGCGGGAGAGGAAAGATGAGCTGAGTTTCATACCTCATTAAAGCGAACAAAATCTGGCTCCATTTTTATTCGGGGGGTGGGGGGGATAATAATTCAATATAAGTTACATTTGGAAACTGAACCATAAAACACAAAGATTCTGGAACAGCATGGGGTAACATTATGTTATATAAATATAAGAAGGAGAGTCAAAAATACTGCTGCCATTGTTAAATCACAAAATTGGCATTTTCTATATAAAAATGTGAAGCTCTTGTATCTCAACATATCCTCCATCTGCGTCCATACCCTTCTGAAGACAGTGCTTTCATCTCTCTATCCTGTCCCCAAGGAATTCTGCACCCTACAAGTGACATGTAAAAACAGCAGTTTGAGCATCCTTTGAGGACTCGAATCATGTTCCTTTTAAATGTTCTTTGAGAACAAAAAATCGTATCAATGGGTGCCCACCTCCCCGATATGATCACTGAAGACAAATGGGTGCATAAGCAAATGTGGTGAAGAAAGCTGATGGTGTCCGGCTATCAAAAGATATAGTATCTGGGGTCTTAAAGGCTTGAAGGTAAACAAGCGGCCATCTAGCTCAAAAGCAACAAAGCCCATATGGAAGAAGCACTGCAGGGTAGCAAAGATGAAACATACAACTTTCCTCTAGTTCTTAAATGCTTCATCCCCCCACTATCATGATCCCAATTCTACCTTACAAATCTGGCTAGACCAGAGTATGTACACTGGTATAGATAGGAACTGGAAACACAGGAAATCCAGGACAGATGATCCCTTCAGGACCAGTGGTGAGAGTGGCAATACCTGGAGGGTGGAGGGAAGGTGGGGTAGAAAGGGGGAACCGATTATCAGGATCTACATATAACCTCCTCCCTCGGGGATGGACAACAGAAAAGTGGGTAAAGTGAGACATCGGACAGTGTAAGATACGACAAAATAATAATAATTTCTAAATTATCAAGGGTTCATGAGGGAGGGGGAGTGGGGAGGGAGAGGAAAAATGAGGAGCTGATATTAAGGGCTCAAGTAGAAGGCAAATGTTTTGAGAATGATGATGGCAACAAATGTACAAATGTGCTTGACGCAATGGATGTATGTATGGATTGTGATAAGAATTGTACGAGCCCCCAATAAAATAATTTGAAATAAATAAATGTTCTTTGAGCTTGGGGAACAGAAAGAAGTCTAAAGAGACCATCAAGGCTGTGGGGCACACAGGGTAAGACTTCCCATTGAAATTCTGGTGGGATAACCCTTGCTACCCGGAAAAAACCGAGAGGTGCATTGCATCATAATGAGGGCGGGGGAGGGAATTCCTCAGCGCAACATTCCTCATCTTTTTCTTGCCAATATCATTTTTAAATTTCTTAAAACCTTTTCATAAGTTCCTGTGATTACCCTGTGTGTGTCTGAGAAAACGTATCAGGATTACCCGAAGGAGATCCCATAAAATGTTTAGTGACCACCAAGCTTTCTGAGCTAACTTCTCTGCCTTGAATGTAACTGACCCCTCCTCAGAGGCCACTGTTTGGTTTGGACCTTGCCCTCTGGATCATATTATAAATCCAAGACTCATCCCCAACTTATGCTTCGCTGCAAAAATCATCTTCGTTAGCTTCACTCTTCCGTAAAAGATCGTTGGAAAGATCAACTCTCTGAGCCCACGAATCTTCATGTAATTCTTCCAACCAGCCAAAAGCTCACCAAGGACAACACGGTCACTTAAAGTAGACAATGTGGAATCCAGTGAGATCTCTCCTCCGGTAGCTTTCACACCAATGGCAAATCTACAGCGTATTCTGCCACCACTCTGTACTTCAGCCAGTTTCAGTTCTTAAAGTTTAATGGCTTTCCCTCTCCTGGCTCATCTTTGAGGTCTTCTCAGGTTTCCTTAAACTGCTGGATCCATCTAAAAGCTGTTGTGTTACGTACGTGGGCCAGCATTCTCATAAACTTGTTGCAAAGCTTCAAGGACTTGGGAAGTGTGTTAGGTTGGCTGGACTAGAGAAACAAATCCAGTGACACTCATAAATGTGTAAGAAAGAGCTTCATATCAAGAAGCAGTTCTATTTCAGGAAAGCATCCCATCCCAGTCCAACTCCAGTCCATAAGTCCCTCTTCAGACTCACGCAGTCACATGCAATGCAGGATGCAGGAAAGTCACAGGCTGGCGGGTCCAAAGTCCTGTGGATCTACTGGCTTGCACATCTCCAGGGCTCTGGCAGGTCTCAGAGTGGCTCACCATCAGGAAGGTGAAGGCAGAGAGAGGGCACCGTCAGGCTGTTACCTGATTGACAAGTTAGACTCCACCCCTACACTTTAATAGCTGCAAGTTGATGTGAAATTATGTAAATACCACAGGAAGCTGTTCACTTGAGTTTTGTTAAACACTTGATATTCGGCCCGATTTCAGTATCATTTTTCCCCTGGCACGGTAACCTTTTCTGCAGATATTTTAATGCAACTGAGGCAAATGTCTGACTGAGAGAACTGTTTGTGTGCAGGCGTCCACTGACGGCACTGCTATAGGTGAACATGTTTGCTTTGGAATAAGCCTGTGTATGTACAAACTGAAACCCTAGATTATATATATATATATATACACACACACACACACACACACACACATTTTTAACTTACCCTCATATAGAGAATGAACTTCATTAATCTCTAATTTAAAGAACACAGAGGCAGGAGAAACATGGAAAAGGCAAAGTAACAGTGATTGAAAAATCATATTGATTAAAGGCAGCGCTAAACAGCCAAGTGTTAGAATTGCTGTCAATAAGTTTCCACCTGCACCAAGTTAAATTGGCAAAAGCTGTATAACAAAAAAGATAGATATACTTACAAAATTGGCTAAAAAACAAACAAACAAACAAAAAGCTGCAGAGGCTGCTTGTGTACAACCAAACACTTCATAGTACTTGGCTTCTTGGTGTAGATGGCTTCTGGGGACATCTCAGTTAACTGACCTAATAACTTATTTAGTGCATCTATTCTACCAGCTAGTTCACTGTGTAGTGCATGGGTCTAAAAAGCTTATAAGCAGCCACCGACAACACAATAATTGGTCTCTACACACCTGGAACCAAGGAAGGGGGACAGCCTAGAACAAGAAAAGGAATCATGAGGTGTCGAAGGGATCAGGTACAAGGCATCATCAGAACAAAAAATCTTACCATGGTGAATGATGGGGGGAGTGCGGAGTGGAGAGCAAAGCCCATTAGGTAGGCCACTGGAGATCCCCTTGCAGAGGGGCCTCGGGGAGGAGACAAGCCAGTCAGGGTGCAACGTAGCAACGATGAAAAACCCAACTTTCCTCTAGTTCCTAAATGTTTCCTCCCCGCTCCCACTATCATGATCCGAATTCTACCTTGCAAGTCTGGCTAGACCAGAGGATGTACACTGGTACAGATAGGAACTGGAAATACAGGGAATCCAGGGCGGATGATCCCTTCAGGACCAGTGGTGTGAGTGGCGATACTGGGAGGGTAGAGGGAGAGTGGGTTGGAAAGAGGGAACCGATTACAAGGAATTATATGTGACCTCCTCCCTGGGGGACGGACAACAGAAAAGTGGGTGAAGGGAGATGTCGGACAGGGCAAAATATGGCAAAATAATAATTTATAAATTATCAAGGGCTCATGAGGGAGGGGGGAGCGGGGAGGGAGGGGGAAAATGAGGACCTAATGCCAGGGGCTTAAGTGGAGAGGAAATGTTTTGAGAATGATGAGGGCAATGAATGTACAAATGCGCTTTGCACAATTGATGTATGTATGGATTGTGATGAGAGTTGTATGAGCCCCTAATAAAATGATTAAAAAAAAAAAAGAAGAAGAATGCCTCCATGGCCAGCTCTCTCTTTCGCAATGAGACCAAAAGAATTGGATGGTGCCCAGCTAGCATTAGTCGACATTTTGAACAAAGACTCTGTAGAAGAATCCTGATCAGGGCGAGGAAAACGCAGAACAGAATGCAAAATAATCTGTGACGCTAGACTTTCTGGAGCCATGGAGAGTGGGTGAACCCCTAAAACTGCTGCCCTGCGATGATCTTTTAAACATCAAGCCAAAAATATCCCCTGAAGTTATCTGAAAACCAAGCAATCATTTGGCTTCCCAGATCTGCCTTGAGCAACACTGTTCTTTAAGACCTGTGTATATGGGATCACTGGACAAGAGCAGCTGGGAAAAGCAGATGGGAACCGAAGGGGCAATGAGTTCACATCAGTGAAAGAGGAACAATTCAGGAAAGGAGGGCAAGTGGCTGGACCACTCAGAGAATAGAATCAATGTCACTAAGTTACACGTGCAGGGATTGTTGAATTGGTTGCCGTCTATATCCTCAGCAACAAAATGAATACAATTTAGAGGGGAAAAACATTAACAGTAGATATCTTTAAGGAAAGTTCACTGGTGGTTTTAATCAACCTCCAATACTCTTCTAAGTGTTTTATAAGTTTCCTACAATGAACATTTCTACTTTTATAGCTTGAGAGTGGGGAGGGAAAATGATGCTATTTCCGATTGGAATATCATTTTAGCTTTTTATTGTGAATTGGATGAAGGGTTACAGAGCAGATCAGTTTTCCAGTCAACAAGTCACACACCTTTTCTTTCCAATTGCACCCCAGAATGTACCCATCACTTCTGCCACTGCCTCCGTTTCCTGTCTCACCCCTCCTCCCCTGGCCCCTCTGAACTTGGTCCTTGAGTAGATGCTGCCCTTTTTCATTGTTCTCCTCATAGATGTCTATTGTTTGTCTGAAAAATGCGCCTTGGGGATGAGTTCATTTCCAGACCTAAAGGAGGTCTCAGTGGTTCTACCAGTCTCTTTCCAACCAGTAAACCTGGCCTGTTTTTATGCTGGATATAAAATGTTTAATGGATAAGGAGGTAGCCAAGCAGCCCATGTTGCACCCTTTACAACAGCTCATCTGGGATTTGAATTCGGCTCTCTGTGCTTCTGCACTTTGGTAACCACACCAACAGAGTGGGTATCATTTGCCATTGGTTCAGTGTTAGGCTTGAAATGCCAACCCTGCCAGCTCTGGCTATTTGACTCAGTTAATTCCATCACAGGACAACCTGAAAAGGCCAACAGACATGAAGGAGTATGTACTGACAAATGTCTGTGCAACACTCAAACTCTGAAAACATCATTAATGAAATAGCCAATGGAGGCATGTTGTGTGCATTTACACACCCACGGGGAGTGGAGAGAATGTGGGCTCTGGAATTAGATCTGAGTGGTGTCCTAGCAACCTGTACACACGCAGCTTCCAGTGCAGCCATCAGTCAGGATGGAATGAAGTCTCCTGGCGCTTCCCCAGGTCCTGAGCTGTGTCCTGTGAGACAAGAAGCCTGGCCAGCAGTGCGCATTAGGAAACCTCAAAAACATTTCAATTACGGCCGAGGTTATATAATTAGTAAATCTGTGATAAATCTGGGTAACATTAAGTCTATAACACTCTCTTCTCTCCTTCATCCATCAGCATAACAGGTAAAATATCATAATGCTTTTAAGAATGTCTGGCGCCTCTGGTTGTCAAATGGCATCACCTACCTGGGTTTCGGTGTGCAGGCAATAGGCAATGCGGTGGTTTTCCTAAGAATGCAGCTCTGCAAGCCTGTGATTTCCCTAAGCACGGAGAACACAACCAAAAAACCCCTCAAGTACAAAGTGTAACCTCAGCTCCATGTCACCTACCACTGTCAAGACGGTGGGGAAAGCAAATCTGAGGTTTCCAAAGCGAGCTTTATCTACGTTTCCAGTGTACCCTGATTTAAACCAAATTACTTCCATTATTCTTATTCTGAACAAAGCACAGCAAAAGATAAGACATGGGATATGAATCTTAGGAAGCAAAGAGTCTTAAATTAGGCCTAACTTCTACCTTCTACTTTATAACCGCAAGCAAGGTAAAAGGAGGGGGAGTGAGGGAAGCTTTAGGTAGTAAGGATTTATTCAAATGATGGCTCGTTTATGAATCATCAAGTTATTAATAGGTATGCACTGTCTATGTAAATAAGAAACGTACCAAAGGAAATCACTAAAAACAGAACTGAAAGTCGGCAAAGAGAGGGAAGACCAGGGAGACCAGGGCAACAAAGCACGCGTCCCTGCAGTACGACCTTGGGCGGGAGAAGAGCAAAGTCAGGTCCAAACATGAAACCGGGAACCCATCCTCCTGCTGTTGGTTGTGAGGAAAGGACAGACACCACGGAGCAGGCAGGCCGGAAGAATCCAGGTGAGGAGAAGTATGAGGTGACAGGCACAGGTTTTAGAGTGGCAATGGCTCTAAGGTCAAATCCTAGCTCTCTTACCAGTTTTGTGACTCTAAGCTCGTTACTGAACCTCTCTGTACCTGGGGATCCTCAGGAGTCAAACAAGGATACTAATAGTTCCTACTTCAGAGAGCAATAGTGCAGATTAATTGAGACAATCCATGGAGAGTGCTTAACAGGTTTGGCACCTAGTATGTGTTCAATAAATGCCAGTTGGTATGACGAGAAATTATTACATTTAATTCATTGCCCTGCCACTTGCTGTGTGCCACTGAATCAGCCGCCGGCCTCGCTGAGCTTCTATAACCTCCCACCTGCAAGGGGAAAGGACTGATAATACCTTCCCCATCCCCACAGCAGGGTACAGAGAGCCAATGCGGTAATCCGCTTATCTTGTGCAGTCCACTCCCCGCTGCAGGGTCACGCAGCACTCCTAGCTGTGGTGGCAGCTGTCACCACTGACTCTATCAGGAGTCAAGGAGTCGGCCTCCAGTCCGCTGTTGCCCAGACAGGCGTTAGCAGCATAGAGAATATTGATGAGGGGGCGCTGGCGAAGCACCCAAATCCCTCACAGAATGCCCTTTAATTAAACGGAGCTAATTCTACTGCCTAAGGCCAACCATGGTTTTTCTGATCAAAATCATCCAAGTTCCTTTCAGCTGCAAAGTCCTGCCCTCACCAGAAGTAAGGACTGCCGAGGCAGCCACGTTCTCAACGTGAACACTTACCTGGGACTTCTGGGAGGCCTCTCTGGTGTTAGCAACGGCAGCCTTGAGCGCGTCCATTTCAGAGTTAAGTTCTTTAATCTGTGGGAAAACAGCACAGAGGCCAGTGCACATTGGGGCCCTCCTCTGCTCTGCGCAGCCCAGACGCTTGCTCTGCTGCGCTGTGCAGTGCTGAAGACTGAGGGCGTTGGCGGGCGGACCTGAGTGGGATCTCTAGATCAGGCTATTTACTAGAGGGGTGACGAGGCAAATAGACAAGTTCCTTAACCTCTTTGAGCTTCTATCGCCGTAACATGAGGGTACCACCATTCACCCAATCACAGGGTTGTTAGTGTTAAATGAAGGGGCGTGTACAAAGTGCTACCCTAAAGCAGGCTCCATGTGTGATGGCTACTGTCCATATACATGGCCCACCCAACAACCTAACCTGGCTACTGTCAAGCCCCTCATCTTCTAGCGACTTCTCTTATACTGCAGTCCAGCCATGAACCCCAAGGCCATACCATGAACCTTACCAGGGCCTAGAGCAGTTACATCACTGATACCTCTTCACTCCGCACGGCCCCAATACCTCTCCTATATACTGAAAGTCTCCACAGCCCATTAGGCCCTAAACTCACAGCACATAATACAACTGTTGGCTGGGAGTCAAATCACATTGAGTTATCACATGGGTGATAACTCAAACTCTTGCACTCCTGCCCCTTCTTTGAGACCAGTGTCCTGCATAGCTTCATACTCTACAAGCATTCCCTTTTCTATAGCTGAAATGTGGATGTTCCCTGCTGTGCCATCCTCGGCCCCTCACTCCCCCACACTCCGTGGATAAGCAGACCAAGTTTCGGAATTTTAATTCCATCTGGTAAACTTCCAGGTCAACATCTGCAGGCCTGAGCTCTCTTCAAGCTTTATAAACTTTATATCTGCCTGAATGGCCTAGGAGCTCCTCAAAGTCAATACTTTTCCTAAGAAGACTCACCTGCTCCACCACCACCACCCCATCTCACTATCATACTCCATCTCCTATGCTTCTAACTGAGCAGGTAGCACCGCTGATCCCTAGTCAAGCAAGCCAGACACCTAGACATCATCCTTGACTGGACCTTCTCTGACGTCCTGTATCTAATCACATTTTCTGATTCTAAATGTTTTTTGCATAAGTTCCTCCCTCTCCAGTCTATTGTTCTCCTTCACCTTCCTGGTGGTGCTGCCAAGTGGATGTTGATTCAAATGCACCAGCTGCTTTTCCAGAGAATGAGGTGGCTACCTGCTCCTGTAAAGATTTGCAGAAGCCTCAGAAACCCTACTTAGGGTCGGGCCTTTCTACTCCCATTAGAGTTACAGTCTCGGACACGCACCAGGACAGTTCAACCCTGTCCCATAGGATTGCTGAGTTGGCCTTGACTCATGGTGGTGAATTTGGATTTCTTTGGTGTATCGATTTAGATGTTTGTTTGTTTGTTTGTTTGTTTGTTTGTTTGTTTGTTTGTTTCCTCTTGCCTAAGCCACTGGCCTATGAGCCTCCATGACTGGCCCTCTAGTGCACTCTCCACATACAAGCCGGAGACCTTGCTAATGCGAATGTGATCATACACCTCTTGCTCAAAAGCCGTCAGTGGCACACTGTTCAAGCTACTGCACACGATGCCCTAGTTCCACCTCCACTGGTTGCTCACTTGCTGCTTCTCCTACATCACCTAAATTTTACACCTTGGGCTCTGACAACCCCAAATGCACATGGTTACTCTCTCTCTCCTTTTAACTCAGCACCAAGGCCAATGTTCTCATCTGTATTTAGAATGGCCTCCCTGCCCCTGCTACCCTTCCCTATTAAGTCCTGGAACAAAAACAAAACCTTACTGCCATCGAGTCAATTCCTAGTGGCCCATGTAGGGCAATGCAGAACCACCCCTTAGGGTTGCCAAGGTATTAACCCTTTACATGAGTAGACAGCCTCCTCTTTCTCCTGCGGAGCGGCTGGTGATCATGAGCTGCTGATGTGGTGGTAAGCAGATCGAGGTGTAATCTACTATGCCACCAGGAAGACTGGGCTCAGGTAGAGCCTCCTCTAGCTCCCTGGCCTGCACACCTACCCTCTTCTCTGGACTAGGTTTCGTCCTCTCAGTTTCCACAGCCCCTGCACTTCCAGTCACTCTTCCTCTTTTGCCCCCACCAGACATGTAAGGACAGCAGGGTTTTGTTCCTGCATTTAGTCCTAGCGCAGCTACTAGGGCACAGTAGGGTGCAATAATAACAACAACAATAACAACAAAAAAACCCAGTTAAAAACCGTCAGCCACTCCCTTGGCAACAACCCTGATGGATTCACAGTCATGGCCTTACCTCAATTCCTTTCTCTCAATCCCCTGCCGTCTCTAAAGCAGCGGTTCTCAACCTGGAGGTCACAACCCCTATAGGGGTTAAACGACCCTTTCATAGTGGTCATCTAAGACCACCGGAAAACACATAATTCCAATAGTCTTAGAAACCGAGACACCACTCCTCTATCCGTCTCCAGGCGGTCCGCCCACATGCAGATACGCCCACCTACGAGTACCCGGCCTGAAGACTGTTACCCATGCTACACCATGCTTGAAGACAAAATTTTGTTCATTTGTCATTAGACATAAATATTTCACAATATATAATTACATATTGTTTTTATGATTAATCACTATGCTTTAGTTGTGTTCCATTTGTAACAATGAAAATACAACCTGCATGTCAGATATTTACATTACGATTCACAGCAGTAGCAAAATGACAGTGATGAAGTAGCAATGACAATAATGCTATGGTGGGGGCAGCACCACCTGAGGACCTGAATGAAAGCATCGCAGCATCAGGAAGGGTGAGAACCGCTGCTCTGCAGGCTCCACATGCACTTTCCAATGTGGTCACCCCTAGCCACACGCAGGTATTGAAATATGGCTAGTCTACACTGGAAAGAGCTGGGAAAAGGAATGCAAAGTACGTCATGAATAATTTTGTTTTACTGATTACACGTTAAGATGGTAATATGTTAGGTTACATACGTTACTAAGACCAGCTTCATGTGTTTCTCTCTTTCTTTCAGTATGCATAGGGCTTGGCAGAATTTCCTTCTGTGGGAACCTACCCTACAAGCACCGAACAATGCTGTTGTGAACAGGGTCATTGTGGGTCGGATTCCACTCAATGGCACCCAGCAACAAATGTATGTGACAGGTGTAACTAGAAACTACCTAAGTACCTCACATTACATTTCCATTGAGCCATGCTCAAAAACACCTGTCAGTGGGTCAATTCCAGCTCATAATGACCCTACAGGACGGAGTAGAACTGCCTCATAGAGTTTCAAAGGGTGTAAATCTGGACAGACTGCGCAGCAGCAGCAGGCGGCCACATCGCCCTCAGGTGGAGCAACCAGTGGGTTTGAGCTGCCAGTCTTCTGGTTAGCAGCCAAGTGCTTAACCACTGTGCCACCAGGGTTCCTAAAGGCTGAATTAGAGCAGCCAACAGAATTGCCAATTGACTAGAGGCCCGTTTCCCCGCTGTTCATAAACTCATCTCACGTCTCTTATGAAATGTTTACCTAATGCTAAAATTTCAGGGTACGACAGGCCAGTCACAGCAGCTAATAAAGAGAAATCTCAGTTTGGTGCATCAGACATACCTCTTTCTCCTTAGATTTTAATGCCATGGTTAGACCCTGAATGGCTTTATCCCGCTTTAAACTATTTTTCTTTTCTGTAGCAATTTCTCTTTCCTTCTCTCTCAGGTCCTCCTGAAGTGCCTAAATTAGATTAGAAAAAGATTCGCTAAGTTGATGCGTTCCAACCAAAATGCACTGTAAATATATCTTTAAGAGCACACTCAAATGCAGTTATTCTATCTTATTCCTGTCAGTCTGTGATTAATGTTTCCAAGTAGAGCTGAGCGCAGTGGCATCAGCTCCCAGCGCCCGTGTTACCGCTCACGGCAATTGAACTGGGTGAGGGGAAGGGGATCAGATCAGTTAAGACGCTGACAGCTATTCCTCCGGGAAGGACTCCAATGCCTTTTGGAATTTGAATACCGCCACGTCAGTCTTTGAAACCGTAGCAGGTTATTTGGGGGAAATAGCAGATCATTAATTTCAGTCCTTAACGCTACAAAAGCTAGCAGAGGGTGTGGCGCGACGGAGACTAAACTATACATTTAGGGTCGAGTTCATTTCTAAAGACAATCAGCACTGCCTGCCTCCCTCCCCGGTCATTGTGAGGCTCCACCAAGATGATGGGCTGGCAGGCGGGCGCGACACAACTGCCGGGTGCTGCGACAAGGGCTGGGGAGCATGGGCTCTGCACCCAGGCCGGCCAGCCTGAGTCCTGGCTATCCCTGCGCCTAGTTAAACCAGGAGGGGCCAGTGGCCTCCTCGCTCAGCGCCTCACGTGGCACCTGTACAGTATATGGAGAAGCCTCCTTCACGCACAGCCTGAGGAGGGCTCGGCCAAACCCCTACAGCGTGACTGGCACACAGCAGCGTGCGGTAACGACAGCCATTTTCACAGAGTCGGCTACAGAGCTCAGGACAAAACAAAAGGACAGAATAGAGTAAACTGTCAATACATTAAAGGAAATAAATAAAGAGTATCAACATACCTGGATCCTTTCTTCAAAGCAATTTCTCTTCTTCTGCCACTCCATATGCACGGCCTATGAAAAGACACTAACTGGTGTCAAGAAAGGACCCTCTGTTGTTCCCCAGAACAATTAGAATAAGCACCTCCTTTATTTCACCTTCGTCCACTGCATGCAGCTCATTAGAGCAGAAGTGCCCCCTCCTTTCCTCCACCCCAAGACAAAAGTGACCAGATGTCCTGCTTTTGGCGGGACAGTCCCGATTTTTAACAATTTTTCCCGCATCCCGCAGCATTTTTAAAAAGTCCCAATTTTTGGAAAGAATGCGCGACAAGCTAGGGTAGATGGTTTTCAGCTGCCATGTGGCTATTTTGCCAGGATATGAGTTTTA